GCCATAGAGATTTCTGAGTCAGTCAGGCTTTACTAAGGTAGCAATCCGCTACACTACAATAACTGGAATAGGGATTTCTTTTAACTGTTGATGAAAAGGATTTCCTGTTTATTACTTTTCAATTATGTTTTCTTAAGTGTTCTACTGATTTAATACCATTATTAAATCGCAAAAAAACTTGTTTAACTAAAAAGCGCAATGATTGCATTGAACACCCCTTCCGTACCCACAACGAACTTACAGTGACCCCACATAAAAAATCGAGGATATAAAGTGAGTTCACATTTTTGTATTAAGTTAAGGTAGTTCAGGACATAACAGAAGTCGGCTCTAGCATTCGGAATCATACACTTTAGCATGTGCAAATGGGTTTGATTTTTTGCTTCTGAAAAAATTAAAGTAATTCGATAGAAAACTAGATTGCATCATGATGATTAGAGGAAATCGATCAGAAATTTCAGTTAAATCTAAATTGGATTGTGGTGTTTAGCCAATTCCAGATACATTCCATATTAAAACATGCCTAGCATTGAAATAACCAAGCTAAAGGAAGCACTATGTAACCACCAACAGAGACCAAACAAAATTTTCTAACACTTAGTAATCAGGCTCATAATCATTAGCATGAGCACATCACTCACAAAGGAATGTTGTTTTAACGAATCAAGTCTAGTTGAACAAATAGCCATAAACTACTTCCAGCCAAAACCCACAAATCTAGAACGCTTGGTAAAGGCCAGATCGATAACGTTACGAAATTTTATTAAAGAGTAACGAGATTCATTTGTTGGTATCAATATGCCTGTCTTCGAAAACTCGTGAATTAAAATTCGTCACCGTCGGCAGCTTCGTCATCGGCACTATCAACACCGACTTCCTCATAGTCCTTCTCCAAAGCAGCAAGATCTTCACGAGCTTCAGAGAATTCACCTTCTTCCATGCCCTCACCCACATACCAATGAACGAAGGCTCGCTTGGCGTACATCAAGTCAAACTTGTGATCCAATCGAGCCCATGCCTCGGCAATGGCAGTGGTATTACTCAGCATGCAAACAGCACGTTGAACCTTGGCTAAATCACCACCAGGTACCACAGACGGTGGTTGATAGTTAATACCAACTTTGAAACCAGTTGGACACCAGTCAACAAACTGGATATTACGACGTGTCTTGATGGTTGCGATGGCCGCATTTACATCTTTTGGAACCACGTCACCACGATAAAGAAGACAGCAGGCCATATATTTGCCATGGCGAGGATCGCACTTTACCATTTGGTTGGCAGGCTCAAAGCATGAATTAGTAATCTCGGCAACGGTCAATTGCTCATGGTAGGCTTTTTCAGCCGAAATAACCGGTGCATAGGTAGTTAACGGGAAGTGGATACGAGGGTAAGGCACTAAGTTCGTTTGGAACTCAGTTAAGTCGACATTAAGAGCACCCTCGAATCTCAATGAAGCGGTGATCGAACTCACAATTTGACTGATAAGACGGTTTAAGTTGGTGTAGGTAGGTCTTTCTATGTCAAGATTGCGTCTAAATCGAGTAACATTAAAAACATTAATCCTACCTGCAGATGTCGTAAATAGCCTCATTATCAACCATAAACGAACAGTCTGAGTGCTCAAGCGTAGTATGAGTAGTGAGAATGGAGTTGTATGGCTCGACCATTGCAGTCGAGATTTGTGGTGCTGGATAAATAGAAAACTCGAGCTTGGCCTTCTTCCCGTAGTCAACACTTAATCTTTCCATGAGGAGAGAAGTGAATCCCGAGCCTGTACCACCGCCGAAAGAGTGGAAAAGCAGAAAACCTTGGAGACCAGTACATTGATCAGCCAATTTGCGAATACGATCAAGCACATGGTCAATCAATTCCTTGCCAATAGTGTAATGGCCACGAGCATAATTGTTCGCAGCGTCCTCCTTGCCCGTAATTAGCTGTTCCGGGTGGAAGAGCTGACGGTAAGTGCCAGTACGGACTTCGTCAACAACAGTAGGTTCCAGATCGACAAAAACAGCACGCGGTACGTGTTTGCCAGACCCGGTCTCACTAAAGAAGGTGTTAAATGAATCATCCTCAGCTCCCATGGACTTGTCTCCAGGCAAAAGTCCATCGGGCTGAATACCATGCTCTAAGCAGTACAATTCCCAGCAGGCATTGCCCATCTGAACACCAGCTTGACCAACATGTAGGCTAATGCATTCACGCTACAAGTAGAGAAGGTTAATAATGAGATAATGTAACACGTACCATCCTGAGCTAAAAGACAAACGGAAGAAGCTAAGAAAGTGAACTGGCGCGTGTACGCGACAATTTATAATCGTGCCTGAAGGTCACAATCCAATTGGTTAATTGCATTATCGTTTAGCCAATAATTAAAGGACTTTTCAAAAGTTAAAATATCGCTTAAAATTTTTACCTTGGTCAATTAAAACTTAAAGTCTCAGATTTTAAATCATGCACTATTAAAAATAAGTTTTTATTTTATTAATTTTAGTTTTAATTTTTAGTGTGTCATCATTTTGACTTATTGAGGCTAAACAGTGTCATTATTTATTTATTTATTTCAAATGGCAGGCGTTTTGATACTTATCATTATCCCATTAACCCTTCACTTATAGT